TGACTTAAGTTAAAGGAGCTTACATACAAAATATATCCACATGACAGCGTGCTGTGCTTTACTTTTCTACAGGATTCGATTGCTGGAACTGTCAACTCCTGCAACCTGTATTTCTCTTCCACTATGAGCAGACCGACTCTGTTGCCCAGCTCTGTGCCTTTCTGTAGCGTTCTCTTCCTCACCTTAGCCACACAATGTCTATCTTTCCCAAAAGTGGAAAAAAGGGAGATGGCACATGCGTATGCACAGGCAGAGCAGTCCCGGAAGATGAAGACAGGTGACGGAGAAAACATCTCCTCTGCTCCAGAGCACATGCCCCAGCAGACATCCTCTGAAGCTTCTATGGTACTGTCTGCGGAACCATCTGTGATGCCATTAAATAAAGTTTTCTCAGTCAACAAGGAACACCACCTCCCTGGAGCTGGACTTCTGAATCCTAATGTCCCTGATCTTCACTCTTCCACTGAGCCAGAGGTCTCAGCCAGGGAACAAGGGCATGGTCCCAGTCAACTTGAAGGAATGTCTTCTGAACAGAGACTGTCCAAGGCCTTGTCAATCATTGCTGTCTCTCCACTTACTTCTCTTAATCCTCACCAGGAGGGGCCCCAGAGCAGCTCTAGCACCCAGCCCATTGTAGAAGGGATCACAGTTGTAACACGTGACTTCCCGAAGTATGTGGATAATCAGTTGTTTGCAACTGAAAGTCAAGAAGCAGTTAGCTTGGGAAATACACCTTCATCCTATGTAAATACCAAAGAAATGCTAACTGCCAGTCCAAGAACAGAGAAAGCTGAAAGAGATGCAGCCAAGAGGACGACTGCCTTTCCTGGTGTCGATTCCACAGCAGACACAGAGCATGATGAGGAGAGGCCCTTGGAGGAATCAGATGACAATGTGCAGACCACTGCCGGTACATACCTGGAGACAACCCCTGAGGATGTTCTGAATATTGATCCAACAGCTGACAGTCTTCTGGGGGACCTCAAGGTGACAGTGAGTGTCAGCACAGCTGTTCCGGTTTCTTCTGTCCCAAGAGATGAATGGGATGACACCAAATTTGAGAGTGTAAGTCAGGCAAGGACCACAGATTCAGACCGTGCAGAGACTCGGATGAGAACAAAGCCACCACATGGAGCACATGAGAGCTTTGAAGGGACTGAGGGGAGCCCCACTTCCACAGAGGTTAACAAGGTGGCACCTTTGGGGACAGCTCTGGTAATTGCACTGGAGCAAGAGAGATCAACAGTCTTTGCCCATCAGATTCCTTTTAGTCCCACGAGTCTGACAGAAGACCCTGAGGTTTCCACTGTGAAACTGTTACCAAGTGCTGAAGGCTTCACAGCCTCCACCCTAGAGGACAGGACCATGCTTTTCTCAAAGACTGAAGTTTCTACCTCTCAATATGAGTCTCTGACACATCAGGGAGTAGGAGATATGTTAAAAGGTAAGAGGGAAAATGTAAAGAATGAAAACAACAATGAAAATATCCCAGATGTTGTTTAACTTGAAAACTTTTTGTTTGGATTTTTTTTTAAAGTATTTGAGATAGGATCTTAACTTCACTATACAGTATCTGAGACAGGGTATTGACATCACTATTTTCCTACTTTTACCCCTAACTCCTAGGACTGGAGATGCCTGTCATCATGCCTGCCTGGTTTTCTTTGTTTTTTTGTTTACTTTGGTTTTAGCCTTAAACTCACCATGTACTTCAGTTGACCTCAAGCATATGACTGTCCCTACTGCTTCTACCTCCTGAGGAGCGAGAGTTTAGAAGTGGGCTGCTGACTTAGGCTTTAGTTGTATTTTTTCATGGTGACTTAGAAACAGTTACACAAATTTTAAGCAAACACAGAATAATCAAATAAATCATATATATTCTATTAAAAAATCATATTTCACATGTGCCAAAGTCTTCATGTAACCAGATTGTTTCCTGTACACCCCACCCCTCCATGGGATACTTGGCAGTGTTCAGAGATGTTTTGTTTTGGCTGATGGTTCCTTCTGGCTCTCCTGGTTAGGGGTCAGGGATGCTTTAGAACATTCTATATCTGCATGACAGTGTCCAGAAGCAAGGTCTTAGTTAGTCCTATCAACAGCATTGAAAACAATATATGTTTCAAATAGTTGAATATTTTTCAAATCTTTTGTCATGACAATATATAAGTACATATGTAAGTACAAAGGAAGCAGGTATATATTTTAGTTTCACAACAATGTATGGCACCTATTTATACCTAAGTATATGCATATCTCTGGTATTTCTCACCAAAAATAATTACACAAAATTTATCTTGTAGTTTTGATCACTTGGTTCTCTAACCTTATTTAACCCAAAATAAATAGTTTAAAAATAATATGTAAAGAAAATATAAATCATCTACTGGGTTCATTCTGTATTTTCTGCTTTTTCTTGGCTTCCATATTTTTGACTATTAGAAGGTGAAACCCTAGTATTAGTTGTTGATGGATTATGTTTTTATTCTGTGGTTGGTCATATAATAGCATCCAAAAGGAAAAACTTTGTATAAAATGAATATATTCATTGCAAATTGTTTTAGAATATGCAAATCTTATGACCTAGGTCAAGTAACCTATTAATAAAAAGGGAAGAACAGATTTGTAGTATGACTTATAAAGTTCTATTGAGATGTAATTAAAATATAAAAGTGGTCATTTTATAAATAATAAAAGTAAGACTGGATAGTTTGCATGCCTGTTTTGAGTTTTAAGTTTTTCTGTTTGTTTTGAGACAGTATCTCAGGTTGCTCAGTGTCAGACTAGCTATATAACCAAAAGTGGCCTTTAGTGCCTGGTTCTCTCACCTCTCCCCCTGAACTGCTCTGATTACCGTTGTGTCTTACCATGCCCAGTTTCTAATTCATTTTGAGAAGACTGACATAGCTGTAAGTGTACATTTTCATAGATGCTTCCAGAATATGTTTTAAAAGATCTATTCAAATTTTTCATGAGGGGACAGTTTCCTACTTCATAACCCTGTGTGGCCTCAAAAGCACAGAGGTTCGCATGCCCTGAATCTCAAGAGCTGAGATAAAGGCATATGCTACCACTCACAGCATAACGTGATTTGAAAAAGACATGAAGTTGAGCTTGTGTAAGTATGAAAGATGTTAAATGGGATGAAACAATGACTTCAATTGTCCGTAGCACTTATGTTTCTAGAATATCATGTATGTATGTATGTATGTAATGTATATCCCCTAGCATACATTACACCAGGAAGCCTGTATTGTTATATTTTAGACTTTTACAGTTGCAAACGAGAAAGTACAATGGATCTTGTCATATTCAGGCTATTTTGGTGATCAAATATGATCTCAGTAATAACTGCCTCATTTGCTTACTGTTTTGTTAGCAGGCTCAGTGGTTAGAGCCCCTGCTGTGCGTGCAGAGGACCTGAGCTTAGTTCCCAGCAGTACATCAGGCAGCTCATTGTAACTGCAGGTCCAGGGAAAGCAGCATCCATTCTGGCCTCCAAGGACACCTACACTTGTTTGCACAAACAACACATACTTAAAAATAAAACAATTAAAAAAGATGTCTATTGAGAAACTGCCTTATGCAGGGCTCTGTGATTCATGTTTGGAATATAAAGACTTTGCCTGTTTCAAAAAAAATGTAAGAAAGAAAGAATGAAAGAAAGAAGAAAGAGAAGGAAGGAAGGAAGGAAGGAAGGAAGGAAGGAAGGAAGGAAGGAAGGAAGGAAAGAAGACAGTAGGTAAATGCTGTTCTTATTTAATAGTTAAGGAAACTGGATACCAAAGATGTTCAGTAATTAGCTTAGGATCATAAAGCTAGAGAGCGCTTTAACCAAAATTCAGACCCAAGGAAATTGGCTCTGTCGTCTGCATTCTTGACCACTGTGGAAGAGGTTTCTATGGGTTATGTTACTCTCCTCCTTCTTTATCACACATGGGAGGGTAAGTTAAGAGTACACACCACACCCTGACTGTCCTGCCTGTCCTTCCCAGAAATTAGGTAAACACTGGTTGATGTAATTATTATTTTTTCATTTGAAAATGCCAACTTCCTTCCCCTCTTTTATTCATGAAAATGTAAACATAAGTATAGAAAACTCCTTCTGAGAGATTTTAGTGTCACTTAGTTCTGGGTAGTTTGTTTCCTAACAGACTGATTCAACTAATATTCAAGCATGTCTAAGAAGCTCAGACAGCCATCTTCCTATTTTGCTTCAATTTTATTCTAGGTTTTTTTGTTTGTTTGTTTTTACATTTCCTTCTCTTTTTTTGTTCCTCCAGATTACTCCACAACTCCCCCAAGCAACTGCAGTAACATTTGCTTATTAGGCTTGGATTCCCAAGTTGTATTTGTTGTTCTGGTCTCTGAAAGAGCTATCTACCCTTTTTCATTATATTGGCCCCCGTAGAGACTTTAATGTATAGTAAGTTGGTTTGTTTAAACATGTTTCCCTCCTTTGCAGACATCACACAAGAGATGACAATGGCCACACAAGAGCCAGACCCCACATTACCCTTGGTGACACAAGAGCACGTTGAGGTCCCCAGAGGCAGTGGTGAGCCTGAAGACGGTATGCCATCCCCCTCTCCTGTGTCTGCTGATGTGGGTGCCGCCGAGCTCTCCAGAAGACAGGAGTCTCTGGCCACTCCGGCCTCCACAGCTGTTGTCCCTTTGTCTCTGGAAGTTACCTCTTCTATGGAAGGTCAGTACACGAGTATGGGTTCAGCTTTGGAGGAGGAGTGTGGACCTTTACTGTGAATTACCGGGATGAGTGAGGCACCTGGCCCTTTCACCAGCATGCATGTGTTCCTACCTGGAGAGATGCTTAACTCTCTTTGCTTGTAGAAATGTGTTATAGCCTCAAAGGATGAGGTGACACTTCTGGTCCCCAAGTCTTAGCCTCCTGAGGACTGCCTCCTAAAAGTCAGAGTTAGGAGTTTAAAAATAGTAAGGACCTGGGTTTGGAGCCACCTTTGGCCCTCTTTAAGACTGTGACATCAGGTAAGCTGCTGGACTTTTGTAGGCTTCTGTTCATTTCCAGAACTTATGTTATTGTAAAGAAGTAATCTATGAAAAGTGTTTTTTATATAATAGACTCAGGTGCCCTATTCTCTGAAGGGCAATGCAGTTTTAACGTCTGGCTGGTTATCAGAGTCTCTTGGAAGTGTGTGTGTGTGTGTGTGTGCGTGTGTGTATGTGTGTGTGTACATATATATAAATGATACATACACACACATATTTATCATGGTCCAAGCAAAGATGAGATACTCACTGAGATATTTTTAAAAATATAATAAATGTTTTCTAATCCTGCCTCCTAATCGTCCTTTCAAAACAAAGCACTCTAGAGTCTGACAATAACCTTCATGAAATCTGATGACCTGTACACTGTCTCTCTTCTGACTGGTAACCAGCATTGTCAACCTTGTTTTCCTCATCTCCTTCATGCCACACCACCTCTACCTCCAGGTTTTGTGTATCTATAGTCACGAGTACACATTTTCATCTTTTTTTCTTTTTAAATTTTTAAGAAAAATATTGTACTACAGGTAATATTTTTGGAAGTTAGCATTTTCGCTTACCATTCTGATTGTCAGACACTGTTGTTTCTTTGTTCTGACCAATGTGTCATTGTGGAAGCACATCTCATTATTCATGCAGTATTCTTCTGTGTTCCTGCAGTCTGCATCTGGACCATCTTCAGGTACAGCTGTTTAACTCCAGCTATGGGGAACACTCTTTCGCATGATCTGTATTAGACAGTGAAGGGCGGTTTCATAGGTAGTGGGGTTGCTGACCATAGGATGTATGAGTATGTGACCTTAGGGACCTATGTCTCCTTTTCATAGTGGTTGCTGCATCAATTTATATTCCCATAAGAAATATAAGGGAGCCTTGTGGCTCTATATCATGGGAATACACACACACATACACACACACACACACACACATACACACACACACACACACACACACACACATGTTTTCCTCTGACTCACAGGCAAAGAGATTCTGATTTAGAAAGTTGGGAATGTGTAAATTCTGTCTGGGGAAATTCTGAACGGTTCAAACTATGGTTGTTGTAGTTTCTTTAGGTGTGGGGCACTTGGGAGCTTCATTTGGATGTTTTGAAAGAGTCTACTTTAGTCATAGATCTGGGTTCAGACTCTTCCCCCTGATTTTGTGAAACATGCTTGTTCTTTCCAAAGCAATCCCTGCCATTTAACTTGGTGCATTCTTTTTGTTAAATTTCTGTCTTTGGCACCCATCCAAACCTCAGCACCATCCATTATACTATTGATAAAATAAGGGAGAGAATAAGTTTCAAAAGCAAAATTATGATTTGAGGCCGTGTCTCTTCCCAGATGATGAAGTATTTTCTGTGTAGGTGAGAAGAGAAGCTGAACCAAGTGCTGAATTCACTGTGTCTAAGACACTGCTTCCTCACTTTCCAAAGCTCACGTTAGCATTTTCTATAATGATTGTCCTGTGGGTCAAGTCTTGTCTCTTGTGTTTGGCAGACCTAATGGACACAATCACTGGGCCAAACAAGGAATTCATACCAGTTTTGGGCTCTCCAGAGGCACTCCCTGCAATGACTGTGGAAACTCCCACAATTTCTCCAGCACTCCCATCAGAGGGAAGAACTATCTCACCCATCAACCACCCAAACACAGCTGCCTCCTATGGGCTGGAACAACTCGAATCTGAAGGTACCCTTGTCTCTGACCACATATTTGAGAAGCAAATAAGTAGATGTAAGTTTAAGTCACTGGGTAAACTGTTCTACCACCAAAGAGTTTCTTAACAAGACCCTCTGCGTAGGGTCCCTCTCTGTGATTCCAGTTAAATTTTCATGGGCAAGATATGGCACTAACATTTAAAATAAGTGCATTAGTTGGCTACATTATGAAGACTGGATGAGAACTGTAAGTCTAAGTGGAGGAGCTGTGTTTTCTCCATCTGATTGTTTTGATGAATGTTTAAATCTGTGTTTTTATAATATCACCCTATCAGTACTGGGAAGAGAGTAATAATCACTTAATAACGTCTTTGAGTTACTGTCTAAAGAAAACAGTTTCTTTATTAATTAATGCTGAGTAATTTGTGCCAAACTGTACTGTTTAAGGCATTGACTTTGGCCATGAAAAATGTAATGGAGGAATAGCTGAACATCAACAAACAAGAATGGAGATAGGGCCCACAGTCACATGATTCCTTGAGTGAGCACCCTGAAAGGTGAGGAATATCAGGTTGGAGGTACAAATTTTTATAGGGCTCTGTACAGGAATGCTGACTCAAAACACTGGGAAACTCTTTTTTAAAAAAAATTACATTTATTATATATACTGTATTCTGTATTTAGGACTGCATATAGAACTGTATATCAGAAGAGGGCACTATAGATGGTTGTGAGCCACCATGTGGTTGCTGGGAATTGAACTCAAGACCTCTGGAAGAGCAACCAGGGCTCTTAAGTGCTAAGCCGTCTCTCCAGCCTCCAGGGGTGCTCTTATTAGGCAGTCAGCCATGTCCTAGGTAAGCAAGGACAAAAGTCCTAGGGTTTTATTTTATGTTTTCTCAGCTGCCAAGAAGAGTTTCAGCTGGGTGCATAGGAGATCCTCCCTCCCACAAAGGTTCATTTTTACCATTTTTTCTTAAATCATGAAGGTATGTATGTGTCTGGATGAGTGTATCCCATGTGTGTATTGGTGCCCTTAGAGGCCAGAGGCATCAGATCCTCTGGAAATAGAGCCACAGGAAGTTGCCATGGGTGCTGGAAATTGAACTTGGATCGTCTGCAGAAACAACACACACCCTTAACCTCTGTGCCATCTCTCTAGGCCAAGTCTTATAGCCTTCTAGGGTGACACTTGTAATCTACTCACCGAGATATATAACAGTTTAAGAGTGGGTCAGAGGATTTCACAGAGGAGTGCTGGTTTAAAAAGCAGGCCAATGTGGTCCCAGAGGCTAATATTCTCTCACATCACATGAAGACAGATACCATATGGCTTTGGGCTCAATGCCTCTTATTTTCAGTTCCCTTGAATGCCGTCTATAAAAAATCAGATTTCCTTAAATTAAACTGAGAGGTAGCTGGCAGCACTGCTTGGCACGGCTGGTTAAATTAAAGAAAAAAAAAGCATATTTGTGAATAGTCTGTACTTGTAAAACTGGAGTAAGTTTCTGAATTTAGCAGATGACAGCAGCTGTATTGAAATGTGTGAGAATTTTTCTGATGAACCTAAAGATATCCTGGGATTTGAGGTCTTTTCTCCTACACAGTTCAGTTTCAGCTTCTTTTTTGAGAATATGTTTTGTCAGGTTTTGGCCTGAATTATGATTCTTGTCATGGTTTCTGAAAGCCATTTTTGATTAAAAATACCCTTTCCATTACATTGCTGGGCTTAAGATAAGGTCTAGAATTAGACCAGCTCATAATTTTCCTAAAGACCAAGGCGCACACTTCATATTAAATCACTATGTGTTAAGAACAACAGTTTTATGTTTGTGTTCAACCATGGAAGGCTGAAAGGGGCCTAACGCGTTTAGACAGACGAGCCTACCAGACTCCCGGAAGAACAGGGCCTCCTTTTAGCGTGTGTTTGCTGCCTTTTCTAGGAAGGTAAATGTAGTTTGCAAGATTTTAATTTCACCACAGAATTAAAACCAGAAGAGAATTTATCCTTAACAAAATAATATAGTACCTATGTCACAATTTTTTTAACTGCCTTTTGAGGTTGCTGTGTTTTGAGACTGGGTATTACCATGCAATTCACGGTAATCTAGACATAGCTTTAGAATGAGCTTGAGGCCAGTCTAGGACACATCAGACTCTGTCAAACACAGAAAAATGTGTATTCACTTGCATGTACACTTAATCTTCTGTGTTATTTGAATGTCTTCCTTCCTATAGAGAGTCATTTCTCCAGAAAACAGGTATTTTTCCTTAATGGGATATATAAGAAGCATGCCCCTATTAGATATCAGACACCCAAGGAGACAGAACCTACGAGTGCTGCAAATTCAGAACCCCTGATCTGTTTATCTGTTTGAGATAACTGAAAACCCCTAACAGGCTAAAGATGTTATTTTTTCTGGCATCATCATTTGTATTTCTCATCTATGATGACAAAGCCCGGAGCCTTCATACAAAGTCTCACAAGTACACAATAGCTTAAAATAATAGCAACTTATTCATGTGCTGTTCTGGAGCTCCACAATACCAAGCCAAGATGTAACAGGGCCATGGTCCCTCCAAAGCCCCTAGGGCAAGCACTGCCTCACCCCGTCGGATTCTGGTGGTCCCAGAAGCCCTCTGGTTCATGGTGGCCTAGCTCCAGTGTCTTCCCTCACATGGCTCTTCTTTTCTTCATGGCCGGCTCCAGTTTCCTTTGTTTACTTGGTCATAGGTCATTGGATTAGAACCACCCGCATAGTTTCATCTTAATTTCATTGTGTCTGCCCAGACCCTGCTTGTGAATAAAGCCATGTTCATAAATACCACTGATTAAACTGGAATGCATCTTCTGTTGACATGATCCCACATGTGATAAGGTCTTCGCCCAGACCCCTTGCCAGCTGCCTCTGAGAGCAGACAGATGTTTCTGATTATCTGCCCAAGTGATATGAATTGGTAGGGTAACAAAAGTATTGGTAAGTTTTTGCTTCCTTGGTCCCTGAGGAAAGTCTCCTTTTGTAACTATATGCCACCTTCTGTGTATTTAGTAAGTCTTCTACTATGTCAAAAAATGCAGTTTGATTTTTAAAGAGATAATGGTTTATTTTTCATCTTATCGGAAACATTTTACTTCTATGCACATTTTTTTTTAAAGAAGAGCATTTTCAGGATGATTTTTAAGCACTCTGTTAGTATGGCTATTATCTCTACTACTACCTTGCAGTTTTAAATACAAGCTTGTCAAATGTAATTCTTAAAGATATGATTATGGGAAGTTTATACATGTACCTATTTGTTTGCAGTTAAATTAAGTTTTTTGGTAGTAATGTCTCTATGTTCACTGAAATACTAATTTAAATTTCTGATGACTTTTGAAAGCATACTGGAAATGTTGGCAGGTTGTTAAGCTGAGTTAAGCTGCTATTAAATAAGGACAGGTTTAAAATTTTAAAATGCCCACTTTCTGTCTGTTAAAAACTTAGTAGATGGTATCTATTTGCTTTACATAATTTAAAATTGTTTTGTGTTTTGTTTACTTCTGAAGAGATGGAAATTATTCTATGTTGCAAATTACAATAATGATTACAGTACTTCTGTAGGAAGTGGGACATTGCTGATGAAAACTTCATTTATAGACTGAAGATCTTGTTCAGTGGTAGTGTGCTTGACCTAGCATATGCAAGTCCCTGAGTTCAACCCCAAGCACTGCAAAAAGGAAAAGAATAGAAATTCAGTATTTAGAAGAATTTGCAGTGACTTTTGCTTCTGCCAGATACTATGTCTATGTGAGAGCTGTGAAATCAAATGCTGAGAAATCTCAGATCTTGTGATTCCCTGCTTGTTTTCTCTTCTCTGTTAAATGTCTGCATATGGGAAATGGGTGCAGCAGAGACAGGAAGAGGAGAGACCAGGCTCTCCTGGGATGCTGCAAGAGATGAAGAAATGCCAGGATGCTTTATCTGGAGAACTTAAGTTCAATGTTAGACCTGGTCCTGTTTAATGAATGTATGAGCACAATGTTGAGACCATGCCTTATCCCAGACAACTCTCATTTCTTCATTGTTTCAAGTGGCCCATTGTATACAGTTTTTTGATGTGATAAATGAACAATAATTCTGTAATAAATGCAGGGATAATGGAACAGTAGTTGACTTGCTGCTGAAAGATTACTTTTGTATATTTTATTTAGTTTAATAATTATAAATTGACTCATACACAGTATAAAAACATGGAAAAGCCCAAATTTCTCTCTACAGATGACATAAGAATTTCAGAAGAAGGTAATATTTTTTGTTTTATTTTGTTTGTTTGTTGAGGCAGGATTTTACTTTGTGCCCCTGACTAACCTGAAGCTGTCTTTGTAGATCAGGCTGGCTTCAGCTTCTGCCTCACAAAAGCTGGGACTGACAGTTGTTGACTGATGTTTCTATCCCACCAGGTCCCACAGCTGTTTATTCCCAAGAAAACACACAGGCTTACATTAATTATAAACTGATTGGCCCAGTAGCTCGGGCTTCTTACTAATTAATTCTTTTCTGTATTAACAATGTGGCTTAGTACCTTTTTTGGCGAGGCAGTCACATCTTTCTTGCTCTGTGTCTGGCTTCCTTTGCATTTGGGTGAGGACTGCAGACTGAAACTTCCCTCTTCCCATAATTCTTGTTGCCAAGCCTCTACTCCTGCCAGGTTGCCTTTGCCCCGCCTGTACTTCCTGCCTGGATAATTTTCTAAAATACAATTGACAGGATACAGACCATGGTCCCACAGCAGAAAGTTGTGTTTGGAAAGGATGCCTTTATTCCAGCAACTGAGATACTTTGGGCAATTGATGGGCTTATTGCAGTTTGACTAAAGTCAAAAGGCTTTGCCTTTCCTTTTTGGTTAATTAGAAAACAATTCGGAGGTGCACTACGAGGCAGTATAGAACAGTTTCTCAGATACTTCTCTTGAAAGCTCCATTAGGGACAGGGCTCCTTTGGCTTAAAATATTATTTAATTCAGATGGGTGTTTTGCCTTCATGCATGTGT